AGCAACAAAGTAACGAATGACCACTCAGTTCTGTATTATTTAGAAATAAATTACGTATGGATGAGAAAGTACTTGTTTTCATAACTGAAATTCTTTTCGACATCAAATAAAGTTAATTGCATTTACTACTGAAATCAATGGAGAACCTGAAAAATGATTTATTCACAGTGCAGATCAACATCTACCGTATAAAAAGCAAAAGATTAGTATGACATATTCATATTTCAGTCTAACAGCTTCGATTTTGTCGATGTTGCGAAGGCCAAAGGCAATTCCAAACAATTTTTCTAATAAGATGTATGATTTTCAAAGGCATTTCCTGATTCACAGTTTATTGAAAAATATTATCAATCAAGTGGACCTTAAATCATCTTTGCACTTCACTTTCGATTAAAGTTTTTCCAAACTGTATTTCTCTAAAGCATGATATACAAAAAGCTTAACTTAAACTTGTGTTTAAAATCTAGCAATTACAACTAAAATATTCTATCTAGATTTTCATATAAGTCTGTTTGCACGTTAATAATGAAAAAGAGGTAGACCGCAACCACTTGCTACTTAAGCTAACAAGTAGCACAACTCTTTCAAGTGGCATATTCTATAGGTCAGGTATCATATACACTAGAAATGAATATTTAATACCATCCATGATATTTTGCATTCCACTTATATCAGTAACAAAGGAAAGCTTTCAGGTGAGCCAACAGATTTTGAAACAAGTAGATGTTTTTAATGTACAGCGTTCGAGATATGAACAAGTTTGCGTTTACATAATCATCTTCCATCTTTACTAAGATACAATTGATCATTTTTCAAAACACTGTGTCAAACAGCGAAAAAATGCATTCGGTTATATCGGTCTTAACTAAAGTATAGTTATTAGTGATTAGAGAATATTGAAGACGTATAGGCTGGTTAAAGGTGGTCAGTGATGAATTATATTTCTGTCAGGAAACAATTTGCATAAGTGGATCGTAATCATCTAAACTACCTTCACTAACTCATAACGGTTTAAGTAATCGTGATCGGTCTGTCGTCAAATGACGCAGGAGATATAAATTATGACGTAAAAAGAAAAGAGTATGTATATGATCTAATGATCCTTGAACACAAAGCGAATAAAATAACAGGCACTTATAGCGATAAGTATTTGACTTTACACCAATTAAAATGTAATAAACACGCTTTTATTTCTCTAATTGTAATTTGATAAATATCTGCACATCTATGAAAAAAATTAATGAATATCTTCTATTCGACATAGGAGTCAACATCTGATATTACTCAACGTCAAAAATTTAAGGAATGAGCTTAACATTTCTTCATTGCTGATGATCTGCTGAACACGGTTTTTTATGATTGTTCCAGCTACCATTGTCATTAAATGTTGCTATGATAGAAGAATTGCTTTTCTGCAGTCACTTATCAATAGCATTGTGCTCTCGCTTTAATGATTTGTCTATAGTTAATAATTTACCAACTTTTGAGCTATCTAAAACTGACTGTCACAAAAGTATTAAGTAGCAAAAACTATTCTTTGACACATAAATCGAATGCCACGTACACAGAGTTATTAGGCAACATTCACGTAAACTGTGCTGACATCAAGCTATCCCAATGAACCCAGTCACTTATTTACTGACTTTTTAAACTAGACTAACAATAATTGTAAAGCTACTCTAGTTTTATCGTACAATAGTATAGCATCAACCATTTGTACTACCTTAAAAGAGTTTCATGCTAAACGTGATATACAAAACTGACTCAACGCTTTCATGATTGAAATGAGTAATTTATGAGCCTGGATTAAACAGCTTCTTTCTGTCTATTCTATCCAGTACAATCATAGACTAATGGGAAATTTAGTAGTTACCTTTCAATTAGAAAGTAAAGTCACTTCAAACAATGTTCTTCCTCTCCTCAAGGTGATAAAACAACTTTCACATCAATCTATATTGTTTTCGCTTCTAGACAGTTAATTTCTGATGTAAAGTCTACTTAGATTGACTTTGTAGATATTCTTGAAACAATTTTGAGTATCCAAGCACGTGAAAATCCCTTACAGAAGTAGTTTTTAAACTTTATTAACCTTAAATTAGTGAAATACAGGAACTTTGAATTGCAGCCTATGAATTCATGTCGTCTATTCACAAATTTAAGTCAGGATAAATATTTAAATGACATTCAGTTTGTTTGTTTTACTAAAACTATTGTAGTAATTCAGTGCGGAAATTTGTTCAATGTTCATTGATTTTTAGGGAATACTGATGAATATAAATAACTACTGAAGTTCAACATTTATTCTGTCTGATAAAAAGTAATTCGTTTTTTCAAGAATAAAAAGGCATTAAGTTGTTTGTTCGACACTAATTCCACTGAATACACAGTAGTCTTCATGTATACGAACTTTACTTATAGAATATTGGAAGGCATCACAATATATCAACCTACATAGATGAATAGTATTTAGTACTCCTGTACATAATAGCATGCTTGAGAGAAAATCTAACTTTAGCATTTTTAGTTGTAGCAAGTAATATGCCTACATTACCTGTGTTGAAGTCGGTAACTGATGTAGTTTTTTCAGGAAATGAACAAAGTCAATTACGGAAGACCACTTGTATTTGAACCTGAGTCATCTTTCATAATATCAATAACCCAATCTTTGAGTGAAAACAAACTATAATTTAATCTAAAGTCTGTTGAATCAAACTCGTTTGATAGTCTTCAACTTATTAGACTTCCTATTCACATTCTCTGAAGCTAGCGAAATTCACCTTGTTAGATTGATCTAAAAACTAATTGGTGTTATAAATCTACAGCATAATCAAAGTCATCATTACCTGAGAAGCAAGATAATAGTTGGGTCTCGCTTGAAAAAAATGTTTATTTTTATTACCCTAATCATCAATCATACGCATTTTTTAACCCTTCTGTAACTGGATAACAAAACACTTTAAATAGAAACGAAAACATTACCTTTTGAGCGAGTATTTTAAGAGTGACTTGATAATGTTTTTGATGAATTTGTCTTTTCAAAGTTCACTTAAATGTAGGTTACCTGTTACTGTGTAGGCGTTGTGTAATATCACAATTATACAGTAGGTCTACATAGTAGTACTAACGTAGTAGTGAAGTAGCAAGTCGTGAGTCTTTACAAATCCACTTTTTTGAATTCACGTAAGACACAATGTTAAAATTATGATCGTAGTTATCTGTTAATTTTGATGACGATAACAACAAGTGGTTATTTCTTAATGAATATCCGTCTCTATAGTAATCCTAACCAAGATTTGACCGCATTACTTCACAAATACTGGGCAGTCAGTGAAAAGTTGACACTTAATATGTTATAAATGTATAAATCTCAGCCTGTTTGAAATAAATAATTCAAACGTTTCATACGGAAGTCTAGTCTGAGCTTCTTCAGGGTGAAAAAACTCATATGAAACATTGTAATCATTTATTTGAAACACGTTAAGAGTTATACAATTATAATGTTAAATCTGATGTAAAATATCACTTTTTTTATAAGATTTTGAAAGAAAACTGTGAGGAAGTGGCATGACAAGAAATGACGGGATTATCTAGTCTTCCTGTAGGAATTTATTTTCATTAAAACACTAGAGAGTTTTCATATAATTAATAATTACTGGATTATGTGCACGAAAGTATTGTGCAATATCTATGATGGTAACATCTATAGTTAGACATTCTTGATCCCTATTTCAATGAGACATCATCCTTCGTCATCAATAACTCAACTTACTGACAAACGAATCTTTGACTTAGAAATACAATTTTGAATAACCTATTTCAAAAAATGGTAGACGGTCAATGTTTTTCATAGGCTTCCAATAACAGAGTTCAACAACATCGTGATATTGAAGAGAATATTAAAAATAATTTTACGAAGTCTCTAAAGAGTTTCTTTACACTAAAAGTTCATTAGATGTCAAAATCTTTTATTTTTAACACTCTAAAACTTGTTATAATAAGGATCTCTTGATTTAATTACAACTGTGATATAATCTGTAGTCAATCTGAATTTGACTGCTCTTTCAAGTACAGATTGTCGATGGTAATTATATTGCTAAACGACTCAAAATGTGAGATTGATTTCATTTAAAACTATTGGACAATACTCTTTTTATGTGGGTGCAAGTTATTTGAAGACATATGTAGCAAATGTTTTTCAAGTTAACTACTTCAGACATTACATACAGTCTATATGCATACGTTCTCCATGCCTTGAAGACCGTTTAGTTGAATAGTTTCACCTTACTATGCATGAAAACTAGCGGTTGTTGAATCCAGAATATACCAGCTAGTTGAACAGTTTGCTTGGGAACATCTATCCTTTCTAAGATTTTAAGTACTGGTTTAGGCTTTTAAGATAAGTCGCACTGAAATTGAGAATGGATTTGTTAATGACAAAAACAAACTTTTCGCGTAACATACCACTTCAAAACTGAACTCAATATTGGCTTTAAATTTATAGTAATTATTTGTTTCATAATCTTGGACGAAACAAAAATTACCTGTTCTTAATGACTATCCGTTATGTTTAATGAATCCTGTTTACCTTCAGGATTTAAATATTTCGGTGAAAACGATTGGTTATTTTTACTACAATATTCATGAGATATGGTAACTATTAGTACTGTTACATAACCAGGACTAGTTAACTTCATGAAAATGAAACTGATTCTGATTTGCCTTATCTACTATTTTTTCTAGGTCCTTCCATCGAATATAAATATTTTGAGTGAAAAAGATATCTAAAGATCAAAATTTCTGGATAAGAAGTTTGAAAATCGTAATCTACACAAGTACTTTTTGGGGTATAAGAGAAATCTTCATCCATTCGCGTTGCACATTTAACAACGGCGTTCTACTGTTGGTAACAGTCTTAGCGTTTACAACTATAGTAAAAACTTTTTCTCTCTACTTGGTAAAGATAGTCAATTGTTGCTTCTTTGTTGATAATTGGTTTCAACATGCTTTTAAACTCATTTACGGCTGTCCAGTAGGTACTTTTACTTTATCACCTCAACTTAAATGTAGAGTTAGTGAATGGCTATACTTTGGATTATCTATAACTTGCATGTAAGTTGCTCTAAAAAGTGCCATACCTGTATGCCTTTGCATAGTTCAGTGTGTCTAAGATATTGATGATTTTTATGGAATTAACATAAGGATTAGTTATTATTTTGATTAGCTGAAATAACCATGGTTTGTCAGACTTGTTTTGATTCTGGGTGATGAATGGAGCTGAAATGAAAATTTGAACCACGACTGGATTTAAACTAGGCTGGCGCCCTACCAACTAAGCTAAGAGGCCTGGCTGGTGATCAGATTTTCACTTCACTTCAGTCACCAAAGTTTTCGCCGGACTACTATAAGAATTCATGGGTTACTACCGCTTGACCGCATTCACACTGACTGTCCAGTCAGGACTTCTCATTTCAATTTAAATCTAACTGAATTAGATAGGAGGAATATCATATTGATCATTATCTTGACTATCTCAGGTTTCCGTGGTTTGGCGTCGTAACTCAGTTGGGAGAGTATCAGATTTGAAACTCAGTGGTAGCTGGTTCGAATCCTGAAGTGGTTCAAATTTTCATTTCTCCTTCAATCATCACCCAGTGTAACGATTAGGAGTGACTCCTGAATTACTCTTGTTAGCTTGATAAAGTATCCTGTATCACAAATATATTCTGACCTCTTTAAGTGCGAAATGTTCCAAACAGACGAATTTGAAAAGGATCCTTGCTACCCTACTAGTCTGTTGACAAAGTGTCGTCTACTGTAATCATCCGTGACTAACACACAGTCTTCATCTATCCTAAAGTATTCTGTCAACAAACAATGTGATAAGTACACAGTTACTGCTTCTTATGTTTATTTCCTCTTGAATTATGGAATATGTCCAATTTTAACAATGACCTTATGTTTAATGCGAAACTGTCACCTGTCTGAATTATTGAAACTCTGAAATCTTTTCGTCCAAACTTTATTGTAATTCATGTTCTATCTTTCATTTCAGACTAATCTGTGTTATTCTGTCTCTCATTTTGCAACTTAGTAAAAGTGTTTGGTCCAGCTACCCATTAAATTACTGCCTGGTTGCAATAATGGTAAGTGAATGTTTGACTTAGCGAAATATATGACTGAACAACTTGGGCAGCTGGAAACCAATCACTCTGGTATTTTGATTTAATCATACAGATCACAGTAATCTAAACGCCAAATGGCTGTTTCATTCGCTTGGAAGTGAGCTCATCTATAGTGTGGCCGGTGTATATTTCACTAGTTCATGAGACATCTGTATCAGAGATCACACACTATGATCTTGGCTGATAGGTGGTTTCCAACGGAAACTTTGCTGACACCACAGTTGGGCAGTTAAAAAACGAATCATCTGTGAGAGATATCAAGGTGGACCGTGCACTTTTTGGATCATTTGTTAACTCAGTGTTTGACTTATTAATTTATTTGCCAACAGAATGAGTGTCAGAAAGAAATTTGAGCATTTTCTTCAGGAAAAAGATGAACATCCCTTTATCATATGCAATATTATACTTGACATAATGAAATATGAACGTCTGAATAATAAAGGAAAGCGTTAGCAGTAAAGAAGTGTAGCTTTCATGTATAGAAACTGAAAAACGTTTGATATTATTTCAAGTCTTTAGGAAAATCAATTGATATACAAAATTGAAAGTATAAAAGAAGGTTGTGATGAATGCAATATCATGAATCCACAAAAAACATATGAACATTTACACGAATTGGTCAGTAGTGTATAACTGACGTAGCTCACCATTCTTTCAAGCTGATTATTAAAACTAGAGTGATGTCCACCGCTGTGTTGCATCACTTTTCTTAGTGGCCATACTGCCAAAAGTGACTAGAAGACTTCTACAGTTGCTAAGCACGAAGAACTAGACAGTAATATCGATTAGCTACTGGTGACTGATTTTTGTACACAATCCACTCATACATGGACTCAGACGTGGAATGAAGAGCTTAGTGGTACTGAGCAGTTTGCTTTGGAATCACCGCAACATCACCAAAGGTCACATGCGTGAAGAAATTTCTTACTAATGAATTCTAAAAAAAATACAGGATATGGGTCCGGGTCTTTCCTCACACTGGCTCCTGACATCTGACACATAAATACTTAGCAGTTGTACCCTTGTTGAGAGACATTCTGTATACAAGTCATACCATTCTCTACTCATTATAAATTTTGGCAAATAAATCATTCATTGTATCCTATTTACTCCTTATAAATAGTCATCCAGGCTCACTGATGACTTTCGAAACAATAACTTTTGAGTACGACTGATTGGACAAAAGCGAATCTTTTGTCAACTTTCCTTTTAATGTCTACTGCTATACATCTGTAATGGTTGATCGAATATTAAGTACACGTGAACAACATTGAAATACTTTGATAACAGTCAATTCTCTATATAATTCTTTTGAGCTGAATCCTAGTGACAACTAATCCTGAGATAATCACTTGTATAATCTTTTTCTGAGGAGAATTTCGTTACTACTTGACACTATTAACTAATTTTCCCAACTTGAAGGTTTGTGAGATTTTGTTGATTTCGAGTTGATATTCGTCACAGACTGATATCGCTTGTAGAATTAATGGAAACTTGAGAGCAATTGACAGTTGTTTTGTCATAGCATGGAACTACTTAGCAGTGCGTTTCTATAAATAAACATCCATCGTCTGGAAGGAGATGATTTAGAGGAGAAAACGTTTCTTCTAAACAGTATCATTTTCCCAAAGTGTACAGTTGTGTTTATATTCCTAACCAATACATAACAGTCTATTGTTGAGAAACAAGATAGAGTTGTATCATCAGAGCAGTGCTTAAGACTAAAGTAGTAAAGAGTGAAGGAAGTTGTGTAATCATCTAAAAAAGAAGTAGTTGAGAAGAAATGAAATGAACCTGACAATGTAAAAAATTAATGGTAGATGTAAAATACAATAGCTGAGCGTTCACTTAATAGATGTGAAGAAGGGGAGGAAGGAAACAATTTTTATAACCAGCATGATTACAGTAAACTGACTACTTATAATGGAATAAAAAAAATGGGCGTAGGTTTCCGAAAATAGCAAGATGAGCGACTGAAAATTCTTCTTCTGCATACAGAAATCAAACTTGCTAAATTGCCAGTGTTTTCGCTGTGTAAAATGTTTTGAAATCGACTCCCTTAGAACTTTTCCATTTGACTTTGTAGATGACACTGAAAGAGGACTTCAGATGAATAAAGTTGACTAAACATTTAAGAAATGAAACGCTGATTGATTTGTGTTCTCCTCTCAGTAGCTATACAGGATAATGTTAGATTTATTTGAAAAATGCTTAATTTTTATAGTCGTCACAGGAGCAGGTAGACTTGTAATTATAACTGGAAGTCAGTTGAAGAAGTAGATTGTACTCAAAGCACAAAGTTGAATCACTTGATAACTATAGAAGCTGGTTGGTAGCTTGGCAGAAAAGAACTGAATTAAGTTCTCTTTGAAATAGTCTTTATTCAATAAACTATATTTCAGAAATTTTGATCACAGAATCTATTACTTACAGAAAATTCATCAGATATCCCTAATATCAAGGTAATTAACTTAACGGCCTAACCGAATTCATAAACTGACATGAACAACCCCTCTGAACTACAGAACTTCATTCCAAATCTTATTGTTATTGTTTTTATTATAAGATTGTAGGTGTACTTATTGAATGCATATGTAACGTTCCTTTTAATATTTTTCCCCTTAGGCCATCCTGAGTACTGTAGCTGCTGCGCTGGCATATCCTACAAGTAGCATTTATTGTAAACTTGTAGCTGCTGGCTTGACAATTCTTATCTCATCGGGGATTATACCTATAGGTCTCTATATGAGACTAATAAATACAATGGGACTGATCGTATTCGTTTCATTGGAAAGTGTACTTATACTATCTGGATGTATTATGTACTATTTCGGGGTGCGCTTGGTAATGAGTTGATTTCTATTATTATTCACCTGTCCCATATACTTTAAACAGATAAGTCATCTGACTACAATCTCACTAAATTTGTGAAGTGTACAGAGAGGTCCTTGTTAACTAATTAAAAACAAGCTCAGTTTCATAAATTATTCACTAGAGTAACGAGTAACATGTCACGCATTGCAACAACCATGTAAGCTACTCGAATTTTTAAAGTCAGAAAATTATCCATACTCTCCCTGATTATCTGTATGCATCAATGAGCATAAATGCTTGTCTCCACGTCCCATAGAAAGTGACAAAACTAAAATTATGTTAATCATTCAATGCCACAAAATTTTCTTAAAACACTTTTTCCCCTTCACCTCAACATTCAATATAGGAATAAAACAGGGAAAGGATGTCATCAATAATTCATTTCATCTGACTTTATAACTTTTTATTTTCCACTATAACAGGTTTCAATCTTTTTGGGAATACTATTACTGAATGATGTATAAGTACATTCAGCTGATGAGTCTCAAACAGGCTGAAACGCACGTTTCGGCTTCCGCTGCAAGTCATTATTCACCCTTAAATCCATTTCATCTATTCAGATACCCAATAAATTTACTTGTTGGCATTTCTAATCAAATATCAAGCCTGGTTTATGCAATTAAAAAAACAAAGTTAAGCTTAATACCATAATGATTAAAGGTTATACACAAAATACCACATAAAACCAGGTGATTTAAACAGATTGGGGAAAACACAAAATTGTATGTTGAAACAAGTTTCAGAAAACAAGAGAAATATCTAGGTGAATAGTGAGTCAGAAGAAACACTATGAACTTTCATAATTATGAAAATGAAAAAGTGACTTCCATTAGTTTCATATATAGCGAAATATATTGAAGTATCAAAATAAAAATTACGGGATTCATATAATCATTGTTGAAGTTTTCAAATACGTTCTAATTCATTGTTGCATTCTAATTCTTAGAACTATTTCAGGTATGTGGCCGAAGTTTGCTGGATCTTCTCCATTAGCATCGTAAGTTTCAGATAAACAATGACTGAATATAAGATTTCACTGTGAGAAATTCTACACCTCTGGCTAAAATGTGTTGAATAAGGACTATCTTCAACATGCTTTACTCACATGGTCATTAACTTTCCTGGTTTTTTGAGGGCACTTCTTCATGGTTTTTCTTTGGAAAATCTATTTTTCTACCCTTGAACTTTGGTTCCAGAAGATAACTTTATAGAATGTTAAAATTTATATTATTTTCAAGGTGGTATTCATCACTGAATGACATCAGTTGGAGGACCGTTGAAAAACTGGCAGCATGGGACAACTATGTTATCCTAGTATGGAAGTCCTCAGTAGTGCGCACCCACAATCCACTAGGGATCGAACCCAGGATCTTCACGTTTCAATGCTCGTTAGTGATATGCTTCGAGATACGATTTCTTGAAGTTCAGATCAGAAGTGATAGCAGACCAAGTCGGATGTGAAAATAAATACGCACGGTGGATGATAGTCGCACTATATCGCAAATTGACGCGAGTAAGTATATGTGAACCACTGGATCCTAACTCAGTAGCTTAATGGTAACGTGCTCACCAAGAAAAGTGAAGGATATAAATTCGATCCCTGATGAGTGAGTACTGCTGAGGAATCCTATACTAGGATAAGACAGCTCCCAGCGCCCCCAGGTTTTTAAAGAGTTCTCCAAATAATGTCAGTTTACAGTGAATGCCAACTTAAAACTATGAACTGGCTATGTTATTGATGCCAAAAAATCTGAGAATGGTAAACGACAGCAGAATAGTAACTGTGTCACTCTTGACAGGATTCTAAACGGAACTGTTGGCCACTTTGAATAGTCTAGTTAATCGATAAAGTATTTCTTCAATCTATCTGTCAGAAACTTGATTGTGATGGTGAATGAGACATAAGATCCATCCCACCTGGTAAGGGGCTTCAGTGGTACTTACATTCAAGTTGAGTTTGTTGCGGAACACCAAAGTGGTGGTAAGTCCCGTTTTCTTGTCATAGCCATGCAAAAGTAGATTGGCTGGTGCTCCTCTAACATCAGCTGGTGGAAAGAGAATATGAAACAGCTTTTTTCCAGTGGTCCACAAACGAGCAGTAGATCAAGAATTATATGCTTAAGCGATAAAATAAAGTAGGAATTGCACATAATTGACAAATGCATACAAAAAAGCTATTCACACGTCTGTCAGAAATAAGACAGAGACTTTGGAAAATCCCCAATAAAGTCTTAAGTAGACAATAGGTCAGTGTTCGTACGTCTTACCCTGAAAAATGGTATTACTTCAAGAAAAATCTACAGACAACTGAAGGTAACACATTTAAGCACTTCTCCTGCAGACAAGTTCTTTTCCTTGTACTTAACAACATTTTTACTAATACAGATAAATCGGATGGATACACTTTCTGTATTGTGTCTAGATATATGTAGCAATTTGTGTATCGTTAACAAGCAGCTGAATTATAGGAACAAAAGAAAAACCTACCTTAGATTTTCTCAACACGCTCCAAATGACTTGTTACTTAGGAGAGACAATAATTTCAACAGTTCAATCACCCACTATTCGGTTGACACAGAACATTAGGATACCTAGCAAACAAATTCGTTCAAGTCTCGTTAGGTCCCCTCTCGCTATCGCTACCAAGCGCCTGAACACTGATTTACATGTTCAAAACGAAGACATCATTATTCTCCCTCTGTTCTGGTTACCCAATAACAGACCTTTACTTGGCTGCATAATCTTTCTGTTACGTCCATGTTTTAACTTTCATGGTTAGTATGACTGGTAAATAAGGCTTGTAAGGAGACGCAAAACGCTCGTTTCGTCCTATTTGGAGTCTTCACCTGGATATGTCTGTCTCCCAATAAGTGGTGTTGCTGTTGCTTTTTTGTATAGTTTTCTTATTAGGTCTGCATTTTAACTTTCATTCTTACTTTATTAAATCATCTTTTATTCAACCTGTTATATTCAGATTAATTGAACTTTACACGTTTTTTCTTAATTTGTTATCTACCGATTTACTTAATTGATCTCATATTCATAGACCCAAAACGAATATATCTACTGCTATCAATTTCCAATAGATTTCATTCACAGACGTTTATGATCCTTATACCCTTATATCTTCTGCTAACATTCGGACTGGTTGGCGCACTTCTACATAAAATTATGTTGACTCCTATGTGTTCTAATTATTGATAGTATTTTAGTCCTTATAAATTAAAGTTCGCCGGATATAAACTATAACTTGTGTTGCAAACAGTTGGAGATAAACAGTTGAAGTATTTAAATGGATTCATTCTTGTTGTTCTGCTGAAATTGTTATTTCTGCTATTTTCAACATCAATCTTTAATAAACGTTCGTATTTCAGCCTCCAGGGAAAATGAAAATATAAGGATATTTGAAGAAAGTTATAAGGCAACACGCACAGAAGTGATAACAGATCCAGAGCAATAGATTAGACGAGTTTCAAATTACCTGAAATGTTTGAAACATTCCTCATTGAATGAGATATCTCTATATTACATAAGTTTTCTGATCTAGTCAAACTAAAATGGGATAAATCTTGCAACAGAAACTGTCATTTACCTTGACCTTCATGATTCAGGTTTTAAACATACACTCACTAATACTCACTAATACTATTTTCACTGTTTATTTACAATTAAAGTCCATCTGAGTGTAATGTATTTTGTAGTGAAATTCACTACTAGCCAATACTCTTGCAGTAACCATTTGGTACTGACTTTTTGAAAAACCTTTTTTTGTCTTTCAGTAATAATAGCTCCTAGATCATAATATTCCACTTATTCATAAAATTTGTTTTTGAAATTCTAGATCATTTTTATGATAGCAAACCAATTGAAATTTGACATCAAGAACCGTTTTTCCAAGTTTCGCATAACATTTGATGCTGTAACAATTTGGATGGGAATGTTAACCTTCTACGTTATAACATTAATTTGTTTAAATGAAACACGAAAGCTTTTCAACTAGGGATTATATGTGATTGTTCTTTGCAAGTGTTATATTGCTAGTATTGTTGGGCATTGAATTAAACGACTACATTAGTAAATGATACTATCTTTTGAACAAGTTTGATTTGCCATGCATATCTTTATGAAATCGCATAACTTATAATACATACATATATACATATACATACGTATCATTCTGATTTTCCTAGTCTTTTCAACACTAGTAGAAGAATTTATCGAATATTCAATCGTATATTGGTTGACTAATCCTCTTAGGTATCAAATAGTATGCACGTTTTATTTCAGAAAAATGTTTCATTTTATCAGGGACCCCCAACTTTGTAGTCAAATCAAAAGTCCATTTTTATCAAGACAAATGTTGTTGCAGTCAGTTGACAACTGAAATCCCCTTATTTGTAACCAAAGCACACCACCCAGCTTTCGAACACCGTTTCACCGGTTGTAGCTTTTGCTAACAGAGTTTAACTCATATCGAAGTTTTTACTGATTTCCACTTTTTTCACCACTGCATGAATGCGAATTTGGAAGTCATTTCCTTCCATCGGTTGTATAAAATTGATAATTGATATTGTTTCTTTAGAACGAAATAGGATGGATTTACAAGTCATCCCCGAGGGAACGTGGCTCACTTTCCTTTTCGTCAACCTTGAGTGACAGAACTGGAGGGCATTGTACGTAATAAGCTTTATTATAGGTAATTTGATGCGGTAAATTGAAGCTGTTTTTGCTTAAAAGGTCTTGGTTATCACTATTTACCCTCTGGAAGCAGTTTATTGCTGTATTTTCCTTCTTAGATGGATTGGTAAACGAATTGATATTTGTTGTCGAAGCGCTAGCTGCTGCATATTACTTAGGCTGATGATGGCTCTTAACCTGTATGTTTCTACCTTTCAGTGAAGTACACTGGATTGTTTAACACTACTATACATTATTAAATCTTAGTTTTGTTGCATTATACTTGCTATTGGATATCACTGTTACCATCATTTACTGAGTAGTCAGTACTTTTAAGTAGAATATCCTAAGCTTCCAACTTCACTGTGATATCAATATACCTAATAAGGACGTTTCCAGAAGTGGTGCTGTCAAAGTCATTCTTTGGCTGGAAATAGACGGAGGATTTAGAAGATGAGCAGTAGAAAGTATATGTCGGATGCGTTCTACAATAAACACCAAACAAAATATGCTGGGATCATTGAACAGTATGTGCCTGAGATTAATTTGCCCATGTTTTCAATGAAGTAGACATTTTGTTTCATTATAGTAGTAAGTGTGGCAGAAGGCAAGTGGCCTTCTGTTTATAGAGTTTAGAAACAATCTTAAATATTACGTACGCAGTACTAGTGTGATCGTGATTCCGGTAAACATGTCCTACATCACAACCAAGTTTGCAAACAAAGATAAATATGCAATAATATCGAGTCATTCCGAGTACTCAAGTGATATAAACGAATTGTCTGGCAGAGTGAACCAAAATTTACATGCTTGCATGTGAGCTGAAAATGTAAACGCGCTACACAACCTTTTTCTTCAGGAAGCGTAACGGTAATGGAAAAATTAAGGTGGACGACAAAATGTTGTGTAAAGACAGTCATCTGTAAATGTTATTTTCAGTGATGCGGCTTTATAATTGAATGTTTCAGCCAACTGCCAAGATTGGCGAAGGCATATGTGTGTGTTACACAAAGTTTTACATGAGTCTAACTGTACAAAACTGAAGTTACATTAAATACTGAATTAATCTACGTAACATAGCACACAGGGATATACGACTATCTACCAGATGATGCTTAGTTTACAATTTATTGTTCATATTCATATCACACGACGTAACTTAAATGGTTCTGAACACTTTGTCGATATCCGCAAATGAATAATCTTTTTTCGGATACTGCTGCTATTATCGCATCTTTAGATGAAGTTAGATACCCTATTATCATATTTGAAACTGCGTTACTTGACCTAATTCGTGTGCAGATTTATGTTGAATCTTAGGATCGTAACCCATCGATTTTAGTGTCCATCCTTTTAATTTACTTGCTGTGTACTTTCAAATCTCAAACTTCAAACCGACTACTGATAGCAACTGTTAATAGGCAGCAAACAATATGGAATGTCAAATTGACAAACTTACCATATCGAGGTGTTGAGAAGACCAGATTAGCGTCTACTTTTCCGGCTTGACTGAACTTTCGTTCTACAGAAGTGAGAGCCGTGCATAATTGCTTTTCTGATTGCCAACTGGAATAAAATGAAGAAATGTATCTTCGACTTCACAGGTTTCGATGCAGTTTGGCTGCCTAGAATCCTTGCACTTTAGTAGCAGATCTATGGTTAACCATAATTTTAATTTTGATATGTCCAGCAACATTTTTCTGCTCACTTTTATGAGCACATTGGGCCTCCATAAAGCATGGTAAAATAAACTCAGTGACAATTTCCACAACATTCGGAACACTAGACCTAACTCCTGGAAGACAAGCACTATTCTATGTTTCCTGCGTAGTCGGTTACCTGCTATCACACCAAAACTCCTCGTACCGTGTGCCAAACCGCATATGTGAAGAGTCAGAGTTCTAGCACACAGTGTTTTTTTAGGAAACTGATAATAATCGGTGGTAAAATAAAACTGGCACGAAAAACGATGTCAAGAGTCTGCAGCACTTGGCAATTTTTTCGTGTCATGTTGCGCAGTGTCTACGCCATCCTCTAGCCGGTTAGTCAAAACCCATTGACATTTCAACATGATCCACCACGTACACTATTTCATCTGGCTGTTCTGTTGTGTTTTTTCTCGGTTTTGCACTCGTGAGTACTAACAAGTACTAATAATCAGTGACTGACGTCACCGCTCACTTAGTTTGCTTAAGGTTAATTTCAAATTTTTAAGTCTCTAGTGAACATTTTGCGTAGGTTATGAACCAATGCAGGCCTCCTTGCTTAATTTGTAAGTTTTCCGCCAGTTTGAAAAGCGTCTAAAGATGTTGCTGCGCTCTCTTACAGTGCATTGGTCTCGGATTATTTGGAAGCTGAGCATTTCAACTATGTGTGATGAGCCCCACTGAAACTCAGTTCATTTTTGGTCCGGATTGCAGCCGATTTTCTATGTGTAACTCACGAAAAACGCAAGGATAGCCAGCACCTTACATGTTATGACGGATAATTTGGAAAATTCTATCCTCCATTTTCTTGCGGCGTTCACATTTCTCTAAAAAACCTCAATATTCAGGCTCTGGCCCTCTGCTAAGGCATTCATTTTTTGCCTCATAGCCTTTGAATATCCAATATCTCTCTAACAATCTTGTGTAAGTCATTTGATTTCTTCTTCCTCGTTTCTTGGTCTTGCGTAGCGGTTCCGGGTCCTTGGAGGATTCCGACGCAGTAGATCCGGCCATCCTCTGTTATGGCACCTGTGCGCATAACGGATGTTAAGTGTTAGTTAGTTCCCCTTGCACTGTGTTGCAGTTGGCTTCTTCGGATGTCGAGTTGCCATACAGCTGTTTGGACTGATCGTTACAGAGAGCTAGGTATAGCGAAGAGTAAACCTAGAAAGAAAAATTTGTGTGGGTAAAAGAGAAAAGAAAGGTGAACTAATGGAGTAATCTACTTGCGCCCAAGTAGAACGAGGAGGGGTGCAAAGATATAAAGAACTTAGGTAGGTGAGGCTAACTTGTGGCAAGTGGACGGATGGAAGAGGCTTAAATGTTACGGTGGAAATAAAACTGGAGTAAAGTTAACGTATTTGGAATGGCGTAAAACCAATTGACTTCTTCCGTTCAGTTCGTGTCCCAACCACATATGGGTAGACCGTGGGCCTCTGCATGACTGTCTAACTTTTCTTGAAGTTGTCAACAGATGCGGTGCAGGCTACTTCTGCTAGTAATGTATTCAGTGCCCGCAGACTAGGAAGGAGAAATGTGAACGCACATGAGTTTTTGACCTTTAGTGGCTAATTCTCTTGGGGTTTCCGCGAAGATCACCATAGTGGCCACTCTGTAGTAATCCTCTTTTCGGGTAACCTGGGTTGTTCAGCAGTTTGTAAGCCGTTATCAAGTCACCTCGTAACCTTCGGTAGCTAAGACAGTACAGACCTAGGACTTTCAGTCTGTCCTCATATGGTTTTCGTTGCATCCCAACAACCCGTTTTGTGGCTCGCCTCCGAACTTCCTCAAGTAGGTTCCTGCCTCTCTTCAGTTGTGGTGGGGCGAAGACATCATGGACCTCACAGCGAGGTCATATATGAGTCTTGTAGAGCTTCAGAAAGAGCTCTTGGGTGGGGGCACCTAGTTGTCGACGTACAAAGTTCAGCACACCGTATGCTTTCAAGGCGTCACCCGGGGTAATTGGAATTGGTGTCTAGTTTCTCCGTCACCGTTAAACCCAGGTCTTTTTCTGCCACGTGTGAGATAGATGTGAGCCACAGAGAGAGCAGGATACTTTCTGTGGATCAGGAGTGAGGGAGAACACAGGCCGGCACTTATCCAGGTTAAATGCCAGTTCGTTATTTGTTGCCCAGTCTTCTAGTGTTTTGAGGTATCTCTGTAATGAACGCGACTCCGCTTCGCAGGTTACTACCCTCCAAATCTTGAAGTTATCAGCGTAGAGGAGAGTTGGAGAGCTGATATGCAGCGGAAGTCATTCACGAACAGTAGGAAAAACAATGGACCCAGATTGCTCCTTGTGAGACACCGGACGATGTGTTCTCCAAGCCGAGTAGACCCTTTTGACTTTTGTGCAGAACTCCCTACTGTCTAAGTAGTTCTTAGGCCACGATCGCTCCTGGCCGCGGATACCCAACCCGGCTATTTCATGTATTAGGGTGACATACGAGACAGTGCCAAGGGCCTTGGCGAAATCCAGAAAAATTGCGTGGACCGGGACCTCGAGATCCCAGCATTCTGTCCAGTGAACATGAGATGGAGGCACAGGACCTACCTTTTTGAAAGCCGTGTTGAGCGTCACTAAGTGCTTGTTTCTTGTTAGATATTCCCTGATACG